CAGGTGATCACAAAGGATTCTATGAGGCCTTGAAAACAGCATACGGGCCTACATACCAGGCCCAAAGCCCTCTACTCAGCACTGATGGTCAAATGCTTCTAACAGATAAAACCTCCATTTTGAATCAATGGTCTGAACACTTTCAGACTCTTTTCAGTACCAACTGTGTAGTCCAAGACTCAGCAATTCAGTCCATCACACAACAACCAGTAAAGTATGAATTGGATACTGGCCCCCACTTTAGAAAAACCCTCAAGGCCATACAGCAGGTGAAAATTGGCAAGGCAGCTGGGGTTGCTGGAATTCCACCTGAAGTCTGGAAACATGAGGGCCTTGCACTCCATGCCAAATTTCACAAGTTTGTGGTGTGCCATTGGGAACTAGGCAAACTACCATCAGACTTTCGTGATGCAGTCATCATCACCTTGTATAAGAAGAAAGGAATTAAATCTGATTGCTCAAATTACCGTGGTATTACTCTGCTCTCCAATGCTGGCAAAATCCTGGCAAGAATACTCTTGAACAGACTAATACCCCCTAGAGCTGAAGAAATTCTACCTGAAAGCCTGTGTAGTTTCAGAGCCAACAGGAGTACCACAGACATGGTATTTGTTCTCAAACAACTGCAAGAGAAGTGTAGGGAACAGAACAAAGGTCTCTATGTAACCTTTGTCGACCTCACCAAGGCTTTTGATACTGTGAGCAGAAAAGGTCTGTGGCAGATTTTGGAACGCTTAGGTTGTCCCCCCAAGTTCCTTAGAATGATCATCTCACTCCATGAGGATCAGCATAGCCAGGTCAGATATGGCAACGCACTTTCTGAGCCCTTTTTAATTAAGAATGGTGGGAAACAAGGCTGCGTTCTCGCTCCAACCCTATTCATAGTCTTTTTCATCATGATGCTCCAAAGGGCCACGGCAGACCTCGAGGATCAGGACGGTATCTACATTCGATACCGTACTGATGGAAGTCTGTTCAACCTAAGGCGACTGAAGGCCCACATCAAGACCTTAAACCATCTTGTCCGGGAGCTGCTCTATGCTGATGACGCCGCTCTTGTTGCCCACACAGAAGCAGCTCTGCAGCGTTTAACATCCTGCTTTGCAGATGCTGCTGAGCTCTTTGGGCTGGAAGTCAGCTTAAAGAAGACACAAGTTCTCTATCAACCTGCACCTTAGGAAGTCCCCCATCATCCCCACATCACCATCAGCCAATCAGAGCTCAAATCAGTCCAGCAGTTTAATTACCTAGGTAGCATCATCTCCTCAGATGGTAAGATTGACAGGGAGATAGACAACAGGTTAGCAAAGGCATACAGTGCTTTTGGAAAACTCCATAAAAGAGTATGGCGTAAAAAACACTTAGAAAAGTACAAAGATCAGTGTTTACAAAGCCATAGTGTTGTCTACTCTGTTATACGGTTCCGAATCATGGGTCATCTATCGCCACCACCTGCGTCTCCTAGAACGCTTCCATCAACGCTGTCTCCATACAATCCTAAACATCCACTGGTCAGATTATGTGACCAATACATCTGTTCTAGAACAAGCAGCTGTCACAAGTATAGAGGCCATGTTGCTGAGAACACAGCTGCAATGGGCAGGGCACGTCTCCAGGATGAAGGACCACCGCCTCCCTAAGATCATGCTTTATGGTGAACTTGCCACTGGCTGCCACATGAGAGGAGCCCCAAAGAGAAGATACAAGGACTCCCTGAAACAACATCTCAGCCTTGGCCATATTGATCATCATAACTGGTCTACTCTGGCCTCCAATCATGAGGTCTGGAGACACACCATCTATAACGCAGCTGTCTCCTTTGAGAACGCACGCAGGATCACTCTTGAGGAGAAAAGACAACGCAGAAATAACCGTGTCTTGCAGAATTTACCACCTAAGGAGTCTTTCTGCTGTGCCTTTTGCAATCAGATATGTCTATCTCGTATGGCCTCATAAGCCACCAGCGTGCTCATAACAAATGTGGATAGAGCCTTCCTAAATCTTCGTTCATGAAGCCTAGCCATGAATGAAATCATCTTCACAATGTAGACAGCTGAAGGAAGGAAAAAGAGGTATGTCTGTTCATTTATACTGTCTGGTCATCCTCCTTCAGTCTATCAAGAACAGCTGTCATAAGGTTTTGACCAAAAATCCTGCTAATGCACATAAAGCCCAAAAGCTTAGAAATGAAAATCAACAATAAATTTCTCTTTTTTTTTTGGTCAGTGAATTTACCTAACATCCAGGTACCTCTATAAGATGTATGAAAAAAATACTACCCTTGTATGATGAGATCTTTTTCCATGTCACTCACAATTTTAGACATCTCTATCACATCCATTGTCCTTGATCATGTTTTTCAAAGATTTTTTTCAAGGAGTTCTGTATTGCTGCTTTTATGAAAGCTAATTCATGTTTTTGACAAGCCTCTTTTCTGTTTTTGTTTTCTTTCTAGTTCTTCCATGATGTGGCTCATCAGCCTAGTAAATGGAGGCATTTTAGGGTAAAGGCTGCTTTACATAATTATTTTATATGGTGTCTTGAATCTTGTCCTTGGGCTTTTAGGCCATTAACATAGCACAGGTGCATGGCAGTGTAGCAGTGATGCTCTGCTCTGATACTAAAAACACTGAGGAATGTGAAGGTATAGCTGATATCTCTGGTAGTGCTTTATCGTAGATTTTAATTGCACTCATACATTAAAAGAAGTTAAATACTTGACAATGAAAGTGATGGCCAAAGGCTGAAGCAGTGCTGTGGTGTGTAAGGGGAATCTGTTTTGCCAGCGTCCGTGATATGTAGGAGCACTATATAACTAGCAAATAAGTACTTCCCAAATTTTGTTTGTCTTGACTAACCAGAACATTGCTTTATCTGCTAATGAGTAGACTTTCCTGTTGTTCAAAGCTGCACCACAAGTTTCCAGACCATATGTTTTCATACTGCTCAGTTTTTCAGAGGCAGCATTGCTGTAGCAGAATCTAGGCCAGGAGCAAGCCATGTCAGTAATGGACTGGCTCCTTGCAGGAGGCAAACCACAGATGTTTCTCCAAGTGGCTCCACCTCATTCTCTGGCAATTGGTGACTGAGCAACTGCTTTCTTCTGGGGAAGACTTGCCAGCTCCAGCTGAAAATACCACATGACAGAGTACTTAATGTATCCTGCCGTCATCACCTCCTGTGATTGGGTTTCCTCATTTGCAAAATTGCATGTCTTGCTTTAGGTTGAACGGTGTCAGCTGTCAGTTCCACCTACTCAGCTGCACTTGGCAAACTTGCTTCATAGCATTAGGAACTTCCCTGTGTCATGCTGAAACCAAAGTGTTGATCTCTTTAATAAGCAAGTTGTATTCATTGTTATTCTGGTTTCCAACGTTAACGTATGTCTGTCATTTAGTTTCTGTTTCTCACAGGCACATGTGCATATCTTGCATAACAACCTCAAGAGAAAACTATGAATCTATTATAAAACACTGAAATAATAGCTTCCTTTTCTTTGTTTCAGATATCACCTAACCCAGATTGTCCTAAACCCATTTGGAAAATAAACTCTCACAAGAAAACTGATCCTAAACTTTTACGTTATGAACACCTTCACACTCCCTTTTTGGGGTCTCCTGGGTCTGCTCTTGGCTTAAGCTACTTTTAACTCTCACTGCCTGAGCTGCTGCTGATCTGACTCTGTTCTAGTCTTGCAGGACATCCCAACATATTCAAGACCAGAATGGCATAAAATTGGAGGCTCTGTTGAGGTCAATGGCAATTGGGTTGTAAGTATTCACAAAAACTTAAAATTGAAAAATATGCAACTAAGTAAAGTAGAAACAGATTTATTTGGTTTTACTGCTAGCAATTTTATCTGGGACAATTCCAGTTCATGCCTGGTGAGCAGAGAACGTTAAAACTTTGGAGTTAATGTTAATTTAACAGGAATATTAAAACTCTTAAAACAGAAATATTTTGTGTTTTGTTTGCATCCATAGGAAACAAATCAAGTTTCAAATTTCTTGGAATACCAATATACTTATTGGCATTTAAAAGGGAAGGGATTTTTTTCTTAAAAAAATACCAAGGTTGGGAACTTCAGTGTCAAGGTTGACACTTCAGGAAAGTCAATGTGACAACATGAAACATGCAGTTTTGGCAACTCTAGTATTTCTTTTTATTAGCTATTTTGCCCAACTCTGCAATTTATCCACACTGTTCACCCTTCAACTACAGGAGAGTATTTCCCCTGCCTGGTACTTCTCCTTGCTTTAAATTAAGATCCCAAAAGCACACACTTTTCAGTGAGTGTATTTTTCCTCTACTCACTGTCAACACTGTGGAAAACCACATTCCCACAGCTGGGGTCTTGTCCTAGTTATTAATTGCTGTAGTGATTGAGGATGATAAGCACCTTCTACAAGGGTGTAAATATCCCGCACTTTAAGATCTGAGATTACGTAAAACTCCTGTATGCTCACCATTTCAGAGGCTTTAACTAACAACAAAGAAAATAAAGAGGAATACCTGTGCCAGTTCAGACCAGCAAGTAACTGTCTGTAACTTGGGAAAAACAAGTCCATTTGCAGGTGGCTCTTTTTCTTGAATGTTGGTTGAGTAAAGCTCTTGCTTGTCTTGATGCTAGAAAGTGGGAAGTGGATAATTCAGGGAAGGATCGATCAATTACTCTTTTCTTCATTGTCATATTCTCAGCCCCTCTTGACTTAAGGGGGATCTTTGAGTGAAAGGTTTAAACATCTGGTACTGCACAGAAGTAACCACTAATAGTAAGAATTTTTAGTAATGTAGAATAGGTTTTGGTGTGGTTTTGTTTTTATTTCAAGATGATGAGCCCACAGCCACGAGCCCAAGTCATGAAGTCAAATGCCCTCTTCTGGTCAGGAAATTATTTTCTTACTGTTACAAACAAGGCATTTACTACGAGAGTTTGTTCTAAGCAAAACTCATGTTTAACTGTAATTATCTTATTTTAGTTGTTGACTTGGGAAGCGGGTCAGATTGTTGAATGCATTAAGCTATTTCTGTTGTGTGAAAGGTGGTTGTTTTCTGCTAAATCTTTGTTCTATGTGTCTAAGAAGAAAAAAAAAACCTAGAAAATTAATAGGTCAGGAAAGAAAGCAGAAAATGGTTGTTATTTTTGTGACAGTGTAGTTTAATGTGCACACTAAAATCGGGGTGAAGGTACAAAGTATGTACACTAAAATCAGGGCCAAGGTATGCAAAACCCTTACATACGTGTGTCCCGAAAAGGTCAGGATCATGACAGACAAAGTGAAAATACAAGACATACCCAGGGTCATAACAGGAAAAGAGTTTGTGATGAGGTCAGGATTTCAACCCAAATTTAATGAGTTTTCATCACCTGTGACAAATGAGACAAATTCAGACTCTAATGCACATGATTTCAGTTAGAGAGGGGAACAGAGAGTGGAAGCATGCTTGTTCATTTGAGTCACAAATGCATGAGCACTTACATGACTTTGTCTTCGAACACATGGCCACAACTTACTACGTCTCTTGCTACCGCTTTTCCTTGAGACAGTCCTGGCAGTCAGCTGTCCTAAATGTCCAAAGGGCAAGTTGGTCACTACAGAGCATCTCATCAAAATGAAGCAGAACTCTTCCACTTGTTTAGCTGACAGATACTCTGTCTTCTTAAAAGCATGCATATTTTTAACAAATTTAGGAAGCTGTGAAAAGTAAGAGACTTGAGGATGGGCAATGAGCTTGTAGCTAAAACTTATTTTTCATAGCTTATTATGAAAGTGATTAATTGACTTCTACATTTTCTTCTTATACATCAACATAATTGGAAACCATGGGCTGGGAGGAACAGACTCAAGTACTCTAGAGTAATGGTTTTAGAGTCACAGCAGCTTAAAAGGCCACAGATCCGAAGAAATGTGGGAGCTCATCAAGTACACCTTTCAGCTTCTACAAACTGATAAGGCCACAGCTCAGGTTTCCATGAGTACTCTCTGTGAGTGAGCCCAGCCCCTCAGAGACTTGTCTAACCTGAGAGATGCTTCAGGGGAGAGTCTCCCCTGTACAAAGTCTTCCCTGGCAGGGGCTTTAGTGTCCTGTCACATCTGCATAACCAGCCCTCCTAGGCACCTATACCCTCCTGTTACTCTTCTTTGAGCTGTTCTGGCCTGTTTTGCACTGTACAGCTCTTTGTGTGTGGATTTGCCCTTTTCTGGATGAGGAAGGACATAAAGATTGTCCAACAGCCTGTCTCGGACTACACTAACGCTCTCAAGAGACAGGCCGTGGAAAGAACCAATCTGTGCTGACTAAGAAGTCATCAGAGTATGAAAAATTCCTGGAGCAGGAACAGTAGCTGTCTTACAATGTCTGTATTTAAATGTGTGTCATTTTTCACATGGATTAAATCTGTTCTTTAATTTGAGTCCTAAAAGCAGGAACATGCTGGCTTGGGTTTTTTATCGGGTGGTAAAAGCCTGTCTCCAGAATAACTGGTGAGAGATGGTTTTCGTGGAAAGAGCGGGTATGTGATAGCAGATGCTATAAGATAGGATGTACAGGACAGTGGAGAAAAGAGGAGCTTAAAAGTAGTGCTTACAATTTTTCTTTCAGGAGAAGCCCTTTCAGAATGATGTAGAGAAAGGGAGCAAACTCTTGCAAGGTACTGTGAACAGGTATCATGCATCAGAGGATATTTTCTTCTCAGGCAGGGAAATTCCAGCCCCACATATGCCACAGGACCCTGCAGTCAGGCTTTTACACCCATGTGACTCCTCTGAATGAGCAATGACTGCCTCTGCTAGGTCCTCCCAAACACGGGTCAGCTCTCCAGATCAAGTCTGAGTGTCACAGCCTAAGCTTGGGCAAAGGACATATGACTGTCAGATGATAGTCCAGCTTTGTGGAAAAAACTTTCCCTGGACCAAACAACTTATTGAATGCACAGGTGCATAATTTAATTAAAAAAAAAAAAAGTTAATAAGCCACATTGTCTCACCTTCCTGCCACTCCAGCACGCTTTTTCTCGGAAATGCCATCTTCACATCACTTCTTCATGCTCCAGGCTGGTAGCGGTGCCAAAAGCCTCTAGAACTCCTGTTTTGTGAATTTACTCTGTAATACAGAACAAATTTGTTAAGACACATGGCTATAAAAGGTTTCCCGATATAGTTGCACATTACTTTCACCAACAGAATTAAGATGAGGTTGGGTAAATTGACACATTTACACATTTTTGGTCTTCCCGTTTCATGTTTTTATTCTCTTTTTGGGTTCATATACTGACTTTCTGAGATGACAGTTTGTGGCAGTTTGAGCCACATTAGAAATTTAAAATCCAATTTTTAGGTTTCCCCCACCCCTTCTCAACAATTTATCCTAACACCAGAGAGAAACTTTCAGGCCAGAGGCTTCTGTAGGGGAAGGGGGAAGTATATACATTTCTTTACACAAATAAATACTATACAAACTAAAGGCAACTATATACATATATTTATATTACATTACTATCAGTCAGTCCTTTCAAGCTCCTCCTTTAACTTTAGTCCAGGAGCAGCCTTTAAGGCTGATATGTAAAAAAAGTCTTTTGCTGTGGGAGTGTTCTGGACTCCTGAACACTCCCTCCTCACCAAGTTCCTGCAGTTGTTTGTTGTAGTCTCTCCTCCTCATGAAGTTTGAGAAGATAGCTTTGAGTCCTTGCTCTCCTGCTGCTGGTGATTCCTCCCTCTCGGTGTCTCACCTTGGTTCGTAAGCTGCTGTAGTGTAGCTTAGTTTATCAAGCATCCACATCCTGGAATCTTCATTCCTCCACATCAGTTCTCAGCTGCCCCCGGTCAGCTTCGGCAGGCAACTCTCGAGCTCTTGGCTCATTTCCAATTTCACCTGGGACTCTTCTCCCGAGTGTCGGGCCTACTTCCACGGCCCAGTCTCTTGGCTCAGCTTTAATTCTGAGCCCCTCCTCCACTTACAGTGGAGGGAAAGAAAAAGCCCCCCTCTACAGCTTCACTGCAGAAAAAGGAGGGGGAAGAAGGCTTGGCTGCAAAGCCTGCCTCTCTCCTCTTACCTCAGGTGCTGTGAATCTCTTCCTTCACAGCACACACTCCAAATGCTGACTCTAACTCTAGCCAAAGGCTGAGCTAGGGGGTCGCAGGGCTCCCCTCTCCCCCCCGGAGGGGAAGACAGGGAAGCCCAGCCACCCCCTGGCCTTGTCCACCTACATGCAGCAGACACCAACAGCAGAACAACCAAGACTGCACTGCCAACAGCTTCCGGTGCTGTGACATATGATTTTGAGCAGAAGCGAACAGCATGGACAGTGACTGGCTCTCCAGGGAACACTGCCCTGGCACCCAATCACCTCTGAGCCCCCCCAGCCTCTCAGGGGGGACCAATTTCAAACTATGACACAGTTCAAGATGGTTTCTGTGGCAAATTTCTGTCTCATGTGTGTATACATTTTTTTTTCTTTTTTTAAGCTGGAGTCCTAAGTTATGAAAATTTTTTCTCTACTGCCTTTTGTGTTTGTGTCAACGTTTTACCTTCCATTTTACATTCCTCTTAAGCCTACCTGCACTCTTCCCCCTGATTGTTTATAAGTCTTTCTGTGAACACCTGGTTTATTCTTTCTTAGGTTTAAGGATTTTTCCTGTCTACAGACTACTGCCATAGAGAAAAACTTGGAGGGGCAGTTTTTCCACAGTGTAAATGAAAGCCGCTGCTGTTCTTTAAGTAGACAGGCCTGACCACACGAGCTGGATTTCTTACTTAACAAAACTTTCCCTGATACATCACTGTCTGAGCCTAAATTGAGTGCAGTAAACATAACTCTCAATCCAACATGAAAGCAGAGATCATTTTGATGACAGCTCTTGATCACAGTTGAAAAAGAGATTAAACTTTGCATGGAAAGGAACAGAGGCATGCTCCAAGTGCAGCAGTTGGTGTGGAGGGGGATATTCTTGGAGGAAGGGAGGAAAAAAGGAAATAGAGGCCACGGATATGGCTCTGTGGGCTAGAGAGAGCTTTAGAGAAAAAGGGTCAGTTATATCTGGGTTTACAAGAAAGGATCCTTAAAGGATCAGTGACTTGACTTGCACTCTGCTAATCAATACCTGCTGATGGTCTGAATTCTTATCAGATGTGTTGATGCTATCACAGTAAACACACACATGGCATCCTCTGATCTGGAGAGGGTTCAGAACAAATCAGTGAGGTTAGACACAAAATGCAGGCCAGGCCACTCTGATGCCCTCAGCCTTGTCTGATGAAGAATCCAGCCTCTCCAGATTACAGACTAACCAAACTGCTAGAAACACATCTACCATCCTGGTACTCCTGGTTTGCACATCTGTGCATGTGTGTGTATTTATTTATTTGTATTACTTGAAAATTACTATTCCTGACAGATCCTGCAAAATCTTAATTTAATCCACAATGGGTTAAATGCCCACTGTGTGGCATTTTATAGCACAGAAACAGACAGTTAGACAGCCTGTGCTGTAGGCATGTAACAGGCATGAGCCGGTATCTCTGATGCAGTAAGAGAATTTTAAGCTTCTGGAGCAAAGCCAGGCTTTAGTCACTCTTTCATAAGGCTAGTACTGTGGAGTGCTAGTCCTCATGCTGATTTAATTTATTGAGCTGAACGTAAGAGTCCACACTGTCTTCTTAAAAGTGGGCAAGAAAGAAAATGAGACAAGAACAGCAAATCAAAGTGCAGAACCTAAACAAAATTAACATCTTAGTAAATGGACTTGTCTCCAATCTGAAGATTAACCCTCCTGTTTTCTCTTAAAACATCTATATGCTGCCTTTCCTTTTGTTTAGATGGGTGACTAAGACCTTCACCCACTGGTGGGAAAATCAGTTCTCTCTGGAACATTCTTGATCTGAAGAGGAACAACCTGTGCAAACAGGGGCTGTGGCACCCTGTGTCAGAGCACTCAGACAAGGACTGTTGTATCAGCATGGGGCAGGCACCAGCCTGGGAACAAGCATCCCAGATAAACAATGGCAGGGTGAGGCCTGGAGAAAGCAATTTTTCATCAAACCTGTCCCATTACCTCCATGGAGAGCAAACTCTACCAGACCCCATGATCTTGTCATGCACTGTATTTTAAAACAGTTTTTGAAAAAAAAGGACAAAAATCCTGGTTTATTGTGAGGTGAGGGATACTTAAGATTTTAGGGAAGGTTATTTCTAGGGATATTTCTTCAAAGCTGATCCTAAGATACTACATACAATATGCAGTTACTGGTATAACATGAACTTTTATTAAACACTTTAATAAAATGAAATACTGAGCTAGGATACTAAAATAGCTGTGAAGGAATCAGAAATCTGCAGTCATCCCTACATATTAATGTCTTTTAAAATAATCAACAAGAACAGCAAAAATTTTGCAATAACCAAATCACTGTGTTAATCAGTGACAGCACATGATATGGGATAGTTTAATCATGTTTATGTAAACTATTTTATTATAATATGAAGTGTTCAGTGATATCATTGTAAATAATTGCTGGAAGTTCAATTATTATGTGTGTCTGGCTGTTCCTGTGAAAGACAAAATCTCTTTTAAAGACAGGTGAAAATAGAGGACAAAGTCTCTACTTGTTACATCAATGCACACTACAGATATGGTACTGCCTTGCACAGAGCTTTGAAGAAGTTATCCAATGAGAAAAACATCTCAATGAGTTGCAACAACTCCAAAACTAAATAATAAAGTAGCAAAAGGATGCTTCTTAAGAAAAAAAATAGTTGTTTACACATTAGAGATCTTGCTCTTTACCTTCATCTTGGAAGTGTCATTTCTGTGACTTGTGGTTTTATTTTCATGACACTGCATGGCCTCAATAATGTGAGGTGAATGTAAGAGCACTGGAAAGGGTCTAGAGCCATCCAAGCATCACTTGTGCCACTGGCACCGTGCCTGGGGACTCATAATCAAAGCATTCAAAACATACAAACCATGGGGCATTGTGCAGACAAAATCAAATGGGGTGTCTGGCACCAGGGAACCCTTCCTAAGCCCTTTCATGAAAGTAGATAGTTACAGTGAAAACAGGATGATGTTCCTGACTAACACCTTAAAAAATCAGAATGATTTATCAAGTGTCTGCAGCATTAAAAAAGTAACTACCCTCTTAAATCTCTGGCAGTCACATATTTATGTGAAACTTATCTTTACATGAGATTGTTAAAAACATGGGAATAATAAATAAGTAGACACTGAAAAGAAATTTTAGGAAAACTAACTAATCAAACAGTAATTTATAAAAAATAATAAATTAATTTATATTAAAAAATAAATTATTTATTAATTTAAACATAATTAAACATTATTTAAACAACTACTGGAATAGCTTTCCAGAGGAGGGAAGCTCATGAACACCTAAAGTTTTTTAATGGAAGACTAGAGACAACTTTTACAAGAGAAACTGTCCAGTAGTTCATATTGAGCACTCACGATAGTCCCTTCAAGACTTAAAATTAAGGACTTCGACAATTCTCACCCTTTCTTCACTTTCCATGTAGACATGAAAAGAAAAATTTTTAATTACAGCTGAAGTAGAAATGGCACTTCTTTCTAAAAATATTTTGTATTTAACCGTATCTTTCTGTTTTGCAGTGTATTCGAGCCAAAACTCTCTGTGTTTAATAGAGGAAGATATATGAAAGTCACTTTCCTAGTCACAGGGACCAAGAGAAAACAAATAACTACATACTGAGTGTGTATCTGAGAGAATTTCTATCCCAATATGTTTGAATACCTGTTTGAATATCTAAACTAAGGAGCCAGAGCAAAAAAATCATGGTTATTAACATAATGGTTTTGCCTAAGGCCTCAGCTTCTGCCACTTCTCCTGCTGAAATTCTTCTTTTTCTTTAAATACATCATGAATAGGTCAGAGAATGAATAAGAAAGTTTTTTTTTATTATTTGCAGGCATAGGGAGGACATTTAGACACTGCTCAGGAGACTTGGGCTCACCTTCTAGTATGACCTTGGTCCATGTGAGGTATAGACTCTGCCTTCTTCCTCCTTATTTTTGACAAAAGGCCAAAACCAGGGTAAGTCACACCACTTTTCTGTAAGACAGTAATGTAGTGAAATATCAGGTGCTTAAGATCTCTATTCAGTCACTTAAGTTGCTCAAGTGGTGCATTTGTCCTTGATCGGATAGCTGCCTTTTGTGTGGATATTCTGTGATTTAATTTCCTTTCCCCTTTCCTCTGAAAGACTGTGCACAGCTGTACGTAGAAAGAGAGTGTGCATATTTCAGTCAGTCCTTCACTGTCAGTGGCTGCTTGTCAAGCTGTCAGCTAGTGTCAGAGAGAGTGAGGAATTCTTAGTCCACGAGGGACATTTTCTAAATGCTTAGCACCACACTAGTGCTGCTGCCTTCTCTTCTATGTTATCTACATTTTTAGAAACTGTGTGTCTGAATTCCTGTGAAGCAGAGCCAGAAGTGATAAAATTTACCTGAACTATGTTGGCTCCATACAGAAATAGGAGCATTCCAAAGCCTTCCAAATCTACCCCAGTGGTTCCATGTGGAAGCCGCTCTGCAGAACACAAACTAGAGTACAGAACACAAGGACAGGCAAGCCAGGGTTAGACCTTGGAGTACATAAGAACAGGGGTCCATGGAGTGAAAATGGAGCACCACACCTGAGGTCACATATCTCCTCTGGGAAACTGCAGAATCATCTCCAGCTGAAGTGCTGCTGGACCAAAACAGAGTCAGGGGAAGAGAGAAAGATTTTATCCTGTATGTATAGCAAAACACCCGCCTTTTTTGGGGTTAAGAGAAAGCCTGGTGTCTCTAATACTCCTTCCTTGCCTCATGAAATGAAGAGTTGGCAAAAGAGGTCTGTGTTTCATCTTCATGTGTATTTTAATTAAGCCGTACTGCTTTATGCAA